TTACGCGGGTAGAGCCGGATAAATTTAGCGAACACGTTGATGACGACAAACAGGTGACGCCCAAACTTGAAAACAGAGTTTTTTCGAATAAAATCGTACAATGATTTTGCCACCAATAAAAATCTCGGCATAGATCGATGAAAATGACTCGCGAGTCCGACGAACCTATGTACGTCCCTGATGTTACATGGCACCGGATCATTCAACGCAGACTCTATATTCTCATCGCTCGGTCGTTCGTGTTTTAATGCGATAACCCTCTCGAGATCCGGCACGCACTTCTCCGCTCGAAGACTACTCAAACCATGAGATTCGTAGACCTCGCAGATCTTTTCGGTGGTATCTTCATCAACCGCCGGATTAATTTTCACTTTTTCGCTCGAACATACCACATTGTCGTCGCATTCAATATGCATCATTTGACTAACGCGCGCTTCTTCCGCGTTTGTAATTTCAAAATCTCGCCCTAATGTTACACGCAGCGACGGACAATTCAGGAAATCCCTACCGAGCAAAACGCTATACGCCATCGTATTAGGAGGCACCGTATAAAATTTCATTTTCAAGCGCACGCCTTTTACCTCCAAATCGGCGTGAGCGATACCGTCAATATTTAACCGCGAGCCGTTGATTCCGCAAAATTGATCGATGCTCTCGTTCTCGAGCAGACGTGAATCGCCCTGAATTATATCGCTTTTAACTAAACTGATCGGAGAACCCGAATCTATGATTGCGTCCACCACGTAATTGTCAAAACCTTTATTCTCGTTTTCAGTTATAATTTTTACAGTGATTGTATATGGCTTTAATAATGCAACCGGTTGCACGACGTTCATCGACGTAGTTTGCGCAACGCTGTTCGGCGTTTCCGACGCCGCGGACCGATTTCGCTTTGGGCATTCTCTGGCGAAATGATTCGGAGATTCGCACACATAACACACTCGCTTTGCCTGTGGTCGCACGCACTGATCCGCAGTATGTCCTGCTTCGCGACACCTGTAGCACCTCGTCGAGTCTCCCCGTGTCGATGTCTCCGCTCTTCCTCCGCTGGTCGTCCTCGCTCCGTCTCTCCCTGGCCGGACGTCTGGTCTCTTTGGATTCCCTCGAACCACCTTCTCGAACGCCTTCAATAGCTCTCTTCCAGATTGGAAGTTCATCAGGCGCGCCTGACTCTGCAGCCGAGGATCCGTCACTCCTTCGATGATGTAATCGAGGAGTTCGTCTTCCGCGATTGGTACGCGATTTGCGAGAATCACCTTTTCGTGGTAATAATCGCAAAACTGCTCGTCTCCTTTCCACACACGAGCCTCGAATTCTCTCCTCAGTGTCAGCTTTCCTGGCCGCAGGTCGAACATCGACTCCATCTCTCGCAGAAGGTCCTCCAGGTCCAGCGTCACATACTCGGCCTTTGAGTAAAACCAGGTCAACGCACGGCCTTTCAACCGAGAGCTAATCAACACTCTCGTCGAATTCTCGTCCAGCTGATACGTGCGTCTCAGCAGCTCCAACTGCTGCCTCCATCTCCAAAAGGTGCTGTCCGTCGCGTCAAACTCAGGCAGCAGCTCCTTGATTCCTCTCACACCGCCGAACGCAGAAATGACGCTGTCGTTCGTTATCGTCGGTGTCGAGGCTGCACTCCTCATCATCTTTATTTCTCTTTGGAGCAACTGTCGCTCTCTCTCCAAAATTTCTCGCTTTCGACGCAGTAATAAGAGTTCTGCCTGCGTCGCGTCGTCATGCTCTCTCCGTTCCGGCGTCGTCATCCTCACTCGGTCCCCTCGTCTCGGCGTATCGTCCACGGTCTCCATCTCCATGGCGTCACCCTGTTCACTGGGTGAACGCACACCTCCTGAAGCCGGGATGCCATCCGAATATCTCTCCTGCCTCCGTTGCTCGCTCAATCTCGCCCATACGCCTGAATCGTTGGCATTCAGGCGCTGGATGAGCTCGGCTTTCGACCCTCCCAAGGTCAGTCCTTTCTCGCGAAGAGCCTCCTTCATCTCAGCGATGGTGAAATCACTCGGCTGCATCGACTCCGCCACCGTCCCTCAGATTTGCTCGATCGGTTCCTCGGGCACTCCGCGATGTCCCCGACACTCGCGCAACCCAAAGATCACTATGCGTTGATCGTCTCAACCCGCGCGTCCCACACTCGACGCGTATCGCGAACTCCCGAATCGCCTCTCCCAGGCCGAATTCGCGAAACCGGGTGCAACGCCTCGATCCCACTTCTGATTAACTGTAGGCGTATCTTTTATCTAATATCGAATATATCAATTAATTATTGATTATGGAAATGTAGGAGTGCAGGAGAAGGCCGGATGAATTTAGTTGACTCAGGAAAAGAAGTCAGGTTCGGAAGATATATATATATATGTTTATTGCGAGTCGGAAACGTCTTCGCTGTCCAAGTCCCGGTTCTACTCTATCTTCCTTCCGCCGCCTCGATATGAAGGATTGTCTGCCGGATCGTGAGAGAATGCGTGCTTGTGTCTCGATAAAACGCTCCGAAGATGATGTTCTCAACAATGATCTGTCCCGATTCCCAAAAAGTCGGCATATTTATACCCGGTGTTAAAACCTTCCCTACCCGAAACATCGGACCAATCAGAATTACCTTTGTTCATCGCGCAGAACTGTGTTTTCGGTTTTCTCGACAAACAAAGGATCGCTCAGAACGCTTTCAATAATAAATATTACAAATAAATAAGTACCCGGCACGAGGTCGACAAACAAAACACGTAAATCAGCTAATCTCATCGTCGGTTAACGTCTTTATACAAAAATGCCTACACTATATATAATTTAAAAACTTCGGTTTTCAATAGTTTTGTACAGTTTTTCGTCAATAATTGAATATTATATATTTTTTCGTAACGGTCGGATATATATTATATAATTGAAACTTAAAATCCTTTTCGTTTAGATAAAGAAATATAATTAATAGAAGGTAGAAATTAGGTATAAGAAATTTTATAATGTAAAATGTACATTTGAATATGTGTATTTGAATAATATATATAAAATGTACATATGGAATTTTTTTTAGAATGTACATTTTGTACGTAAAATTGTTACACAAAGTTATTAAAAATTTTTAAGAAACTAATTTTATATTGCACTGACAAATATAGAAAATAAACATCAAAAAACGTAAATGTCGACAAAACGTAAGTATATATAATCTTATTAGATTATAACAAAAAATAAACTCTCTCTTTTTTTTAACTATAACTATTTCTATTTAACTCTGAATACGATATCAAATCATTGATGAATAAGATTTCATCAGAATGCTAAAGATCAGAATTTTTATCGTCACTGTTGTCTTTTGAATTCACTGGTTTGTTGATCTTCGCTCTGAAACACAAAATTAAAAATATTGCATATTTTTGAAAAATATATTGTACATACATATATTATATATTTATTTAATATCATAATAATTAACTATACAAATATAAATTATATACATACATTTCTCTCTTGCATCTTAACGGGGCTTGGACCAGCCACTTCCCAATAAAATTGTCAATTTCCGTTTCCGACGTATTGATTTGCTGGCTCTGCACCACAACTACAAAAAATATACAATATATATCACATTATATACAATTAAAAATTAATTTTTAAAATGAGTATATAAATGTGTAAAATTTACCTCGAACTCTAGTTTGGTTATATTTAAATCTTTGAAACCCTTTTTCCCTCTGACTCTCGCCCAACTGAAGCCTGCCGCAATTTTGTTTGACCGGATTTCAAACAGGACATTTCGTGTAATACTTTTTACGTTGTCTCCACCAATTTGACAAAGAGCTGTACCCTGAAATAAAGTTATTTCTGAAAATATTTGTAATAAATTTAATAGTAATAGTAATAATAATAATTAAAATGTATATATGTGGATTAATATATGGATTAATATATCTATGGAAATAGATTATATAAACTGCTCTTACAACTTTTTGGAAATATTCAGTATCTTCTAAATCACTCTCCAGTATATCCAGATCATCCAACGTTTCAATAAAGATTTTTTTTCCATCAATGACTTTCCTGTTAACAATGTGTAAACCTTCGCTGCGGTTATCATTCTTGAATCTATTAGGTACAACGTTTTCTTTTATTTCTGCGATGTCTTCTTTCATTATATAGACCTCCTGGAGTAACTTATTTAGCTTTCTAAAAACTTTTGATAATCCTTCTGAAATGTTAAATATTATAAATATTACATTATCAGAGATGGGGCTAAGTAAGAATGCAAATAGAAAGTTAACTATTTTAAAGTTGAATATTTTTGTATTGGCAAACGCGAGACGCTGGCGACGTCGAAATAATACTCGAGGTAGAGAAAAGTCATTAGAGAGAAAGACTTGTCAAACAATTTTCTATGAATATAATATACTACGTATAACGTATAAAACCCGCCGATTGCACCAACGTTATTTTTGCTTTAAGCGAGACTTGAATATGTATCTATCTTTATCTTTCTTTCTAAATAAATAAAGACACATGTATATTTAAATAACGTTGGTGCAATCGGACCTAAGTGATAAATGAAAACTTACTATTGGTATTATAATCTGCATCTTTGTTTTTAAAAGGTCTTAACGGGAGTTGTTCCTTTTCTGAAATTATACAGAAACAAAACTGTATAAAGTTACATATACAACATACATACATATATATATGCATTATAAATATTATTCTTTAAATGTATAGATACAAATAATTATATAAACTTACTGTTTGTAGTAGAATTGGTACATTCTATATTTTGTTCTACTGCAAGCTTATTCAATAATACTGTGGATTCTTTTTGTGAAACATTTTTATGTTCTTTTATTTTGGATGAAATAATGTTTCCAACTCTATCATCAGTTTCATTAATTAAATATGTTAAAATATTGTACGTACCTTCAATGAATACTTTAGACCAAATAATATAATACGCAGCAATATACACGCACGTGTGTGAATGTTCTTCGTTCTTCATACACAAAATATATATATATATATATATATATATATATATATATATATTGGAAGAGGCACTTTAAGGCGATTGTCTAACTTTTAACAACGATTTCGCTATCGTTATATATGTCGTTGCGCATATATATTTTCATATGTCGAAATACATGCGCGACGATGTAACGATAACGATGATAATTATTGTTAAACGTTAGAGAATCGGTCTACTGACCTCTCGTATCTTGTATAATACGTAAATGGAAAGTGTACGTGCGCCCATTTTAATCCGATAATAAATATCTCTAGATTTTGTGATTGAATAATATTTACAACACAAATAATAGATCCATCTTTTAATACACAACAATTATTTTTGTCCTCTTTACAATTTATATAATATAAATGGGTTTTAAGAATTTTGTACTGATTAAGATTATTTTGCATAATTAAGTTATTCGGCAGAGGGCCTGCACAATGTTTGTTTTTCAAAATAGTATTTGATTGATTATCTAATTTTGAATGGAATTGATATTCGCATGCATACATTTCCCCAAAACGTCGCGCAACTTGTTGCAAAGGCCTGTCTGATTTTCTTAAAATATTTTTTAACATTTGCAAATAATTTTCAAACCAAAAAGCGTTAAATTTATCTAATGCTCCGAATTTCTGAACATCTCTACTAAGATGCAATAAATTATGTATGTTGTGGGTTACGAATTGATCTCCGTATATAATTTGAAATGACTTTACAAAATGTGTCAAAAGTTTTTCAGCGTATAAAATATTATTTTGGTTTTCAATTAATTTTGGATTAATAAGAATTGATATAGCTACATGTAAAGTTAAAAAATTGATATAGATGTCTTACCGTATAAATTCATTTAGCACTACGGGTCCTGTATACAATAAAAATTGGCGGAACTCTGTAGCTTTCCAATACATAACATTGTTAAGACTTCTTGGTTTTCTTACAAATTCTATAGGAGTTCGTTCTCTAATTTTTATTAATAATTTTGAAATTTTTTGTATTTGAGTAGAATTTAAACGTATCGAAAGAGATCCTTTTATCCATAAAATCAATAATTTTTTAACGACTCCCAAGCAAATAAGATGCATATAATCTAACGGTACATTTGTCACTAAACCTAAATTAGGAACTATTGTTAATATTGTTTCCCCCTTATGATAATCTACATCCGTTTGCTCAAGAAAATCTGTATCAGTTTGAAGATGACTTGGAACATTTTCAACAAAACAAACTTTACTATTTTTATGCGTGCCTTGAATGTAACATTTTGAACAACTGCCATATCCGATATGACCTTTGGTGGACAATAAAAACGATTTTGCTGGAGCATCACAAACAATTGCATAAAGTGAAACTTGTATAGGCAATTTATTATTTATATTAATTAATTCATGAATCAATTCTTTCACGAAATCATTTGCACTGGTTGGTTTGCTATTTCCATAATAGCAACCTACCATGTAAACATTCTTTAACTTAATATCGGATACTAAAATAGGCCAAAACAAAACTTTAGAGGACTTAGCTAAAGGTAAACCGTCTATGTTTAAAATTAAATCGATATTGGATGGGAGTGCTAATTTATCATAGTCAATTATTAATTTTTCAATAAAATTACGTAAACCGCAATGCCAATATAATCCGCCTGCTAATTTAATTATATTATTTTCACGCGGTGTTCTTAAAAAAGTTCTGGCATCTTTAGGCAAAAATGATAATATTGGAATATGTTTTTTTAAAATTTGTAAGAGGTCACTAATTGCATTCAAACAAATTCTGTATTTTATTGCCCACCACTTTAAATCTGACATGAATTCAGAACTCTGTATCCCATCGTTACTTACCAGTGAGTCGTGACATTCATATCTGTTACCTGCAGCATTGATGTTGTCTTCATCGAACTAGTCACATCCATAATCTTCGTCATCAGATAATGGGTCATCATCTGAACTACAATTTTCCGTATCGCTATCAGAGTTCACATTATCATCAGATTCATTATTAGCCAGATCAGATTTAGATGGAGGATTATCACCTGAAAAAAAATCTAATTAATTATCATGACAAAACTGATTATGTACTTTTTATTATCAAATTTATTTATAATTTCATCAATTACTATTGGATTGAGAAGATGATGAGCTAGCAGCTTGCAAGTTATCGGTAGAAGAATGATGCGAATAGCCGTAACTCCTTCAAGATCTTCACAAAATTGAATATCATCATCATCATCATCATTTACATATCGGAATCTGTCCAAATCATCCTGTGTTTCAGTAGCAACTAAATATCTACGATGACGTTTTGAGTACGACGAATATTTTATTTTGTTACCAGACATGCTGTGAAAAAATATATATTTTAAGAAAAGAATTAACTTATTTAACCTTCATAAGAGATTCCCATTATATATATTTTATATATATTGTTGTGTCTCCGCTTGGGAAAGGGGTTCAATAATTAATCTGCCACGTATTCACTATATTTACAATCGGTTTATTTCCTGTCCTTCGTATAACTCAGCCGTGTGTGTGTTCCTTACGCTATGCCGGAGAGGAAGAGACTGAATCCGCCGATACGCGTGTATATATATATCGCACATTGTCACCTCCGCCATACCAACTTGCTTTCCTGTCCTAAACGCGATGTCATGCTTACGCGCCTATTTTGAAAGGCATGTAACTATGCAACATATTGTATCAAGAGACACGGTAGTGTCTCGCGACCAGTTAAGGGCGTAGCCGAGACACCGTGTATCTTAACGCGAGTCGGACATTTGAGTCTTTATAATATTTCGAATTCTCAATAACGGCTGAAGCAATCGAGTTTATACTAGACTTAATCGATAGATTGAGTTTGAATTATATAATAAAAGTGTCTTTATTTCTGCTCTACGTGATTTGTAAGCAGAGATATATAATTGCAAAGTCGAAATATGAAAAATTTCTTTTAAGAAACGTCCCCGTCATCATCATTATTATTATCATCATCGACCACGCAAACATAGTAGTATCGTGCTACACGTATTCACACGTATACAACACATGCGCACACATATATCACACGTACACAACACATGAATAGATGCATGTATTGGAAATGTCCATCTCGCACGTTTTACAACAGACGGCGATAGTTGCCCTCCGCTATATTGACAGCGTGCGGGGTTAGATATTTTCAATTTTCAATTTCAATTTTTACATTCAATTTTAATGTTATTATTTGCAAATTTATTGTCATAATAATTTATGTGCAAGTTTACAGTCTGTGATACAAAATCAGATATTTTGCTATTATTTCAATAATATTTCAATTATATAAATTATAAATGCCTATGTATGAGTGTGCATATATTTTTAATAATTTTCTTAATTAGCTTCTATATTTTTTTCAGTTGTACATCAAGCAGGTAGCATTATCAGCTCACTTGTGAGCATGGGTTGGGCAATGGCTAGTTATCATCGCAGCATTTGATTAGCTTAACAAGATAAATCTAATATCAGTGCTATAGGAACTATTTTACAATTTTTCTGGCATTTTCTTATTGCAGGTACATATATATCCAATAATTAATATACAAAATTAAATATTATTCATCACACACTTTGTATCAAAATAATATATTTTTTAAAATTTATTTAATCATTTTTATCATTGTGATTGTAGTGGCAAGGATCTTATTGCTCAGTGTCATTGCAAGCATCTGGCCTGTATATACCATAATATATTGCGTAATACATTGGCTAAGTATGACAATATAGATTTTGATAGATTCCCATGGAATATTGGAATTTTGTCGGACTTACAGTCATCCACCACATATGCAGCCTACAATTAAAGAACGCATTTATTCCATATGATTTGCTTCCGTTATTGGAATATTTAAAATAAAAATTTTATTAATAAATTTCGATGAAATAATTTATAAGAGGTTGAAGAAACTATGAAACAAATTCAGTCTCATAAAAGGGTAGTTGGAACAATAGTGGTGAATGCAGAAGGTATTACATGAGATCATTGACATGATTTACTTGTAGTTGTAAACAAAAATTTATAAAATTATATCTGTTTTAGGTATTCCTATAAAGTCAACATTAGATAATACGACAACAGTTCAATACGCAGGTTTGATAAGTCAATTGTCAGATAAAGCTCGTTCTGTCGTACGTGACTTGAATCCAACAAATGATTTAACTTTCTTGCGCATACGTAGCAAAAAACATAAAATTATGATGGCACCAGATAAAGAATTCATATTAATAGTAGTACAAAATCCAGTTGATTGATATTTAAAAGAAACAAAAATATATTTCAAAGTTAAGATTTATTTCTTTGGTTGTTAATTTAATCTGTATGCTACATTGTGGATGTTAATATCTATTCAATTAAATAAAGAAAAATAAAAGAATAAAGCTTAAAAATTATACAAAATGCAGTATTTAATTACTAATTTAACAAATTATGAACTTTTAGAGTTTTTAAATAGTGCTTTCTTCTTTGGTAACAATATTATATTTTTAAGTTTGATAATTATGAAAATATGTATATATAGTAATTCATGGCATGTTTATTTTTGTATTTAATACAATTATAAATGTACATTTCTCATCAATAAAATATCACAGTATCTTTTTTATAATTTAATTTTAATATTGAGATTGTTTTTATTCAGTGGAAAAAAAAATGTGTAGTTGGTCCCTATTAATTATACATACATATAAGAATGTCGCACAAATAATTCTATGCAGTCTTTTTAAGACAATATAAAAATACTTATAAATATAATCAATTAAAATACATATAATCAAAATTGTATGTATTAAATTCAATAGCATATAAAAAAGATTTTTTGAAATTATATATATATAATAAAAATCCAACATTTTATATATATATATATATATATATATATAAATAAATATATATTTATTATTGTATATCATAAATATATATTTATTTATTTAAATATAAATTTAACATATATAAGATAGGCAATAAGAGCCAAATCGCGGATGACAGTGCGTTATTCTAAACGAAACTAAATTTTTTCGTTAGAATTAAATACCTGTGCACAAGGCACCAAATTTTTACTTGGACACGGCCAAGATATAAAATTGGAATAATCTCTACAAGAGATTTTTAATTCCATGTATCCCCTATTCCCCCTAAAGAAATAAAGTGCGAGAGAAAAATATAGATCCGAAAGTCGCAGAATCGGGAATCGAACCCGAGATCTTTCGCTTGCCGGGCGACTGCTCTTCCAACTGAGCTATTCAGATCCTTTCGATTCTATACTTTTCTCTGTTATATATATTAATGTTGGTAAATAAACGCCTTTAAGCCAGCGTGTATAAATTAAGAGTTTAACTAGGCTCTGTAATATATAAATATAAATTTAACATATATAAGATAGGCAATAAGAGCCAAATCGCGGATGACAGTGCGTTATTCTAAACGAAACTAAATTTTTTCGTTAGAATTAAATACCTGTGCACAAGGCACCAAATTTTTACTTGGACACGGCCAAGATATAAAATTGGAATAATCTCTACAAGAGATTTTTAATTCCATGTATCCCCTATTCCCCCTAAAGAAATAAAGTGCGAGAGAAAAATATAGATCCGAAAGTCGCAGAATCGGGAATCGAACCCGAGACCTTTCGCTTGCCGGGCGACTGCTCTTCCAACTGAGCTATTCAGATCCTTTCGATTCTATACTTTTCTCTGTTATATATATTAATGTTGGTAAATAAACGCCTTTAAGCCAGCGTGTATAAATTAAGAGTTTAACTAGGCTCTGTAATATATAAATATAAATTTAACATATATAAGATAGGCAATAAGAGCCAAATCGCGGATGACAGTGCGTTATTCTAAACGAAACTAAATTTTTTCGTTAGAATTAAATACCTGTGCACAAGGCACCAAATTTTTACTTGGACACGGCCAAGATATAAAATTGGAATAATCTCTACAAGAGATTTTTAATTCCATGTATCCCCTATTCCCCCTAAAGAAATAAAGTGCGAGAGAAAAATATAGATCCGAAAGTCGCAGAATCGGGAATCGAACCCGAGACCTTTCGCTTGCCGGGCGACTGCTCTTCCAACTGAGCTATTCAGATCCTTTCGATTCTATACTTTTCTCTGTTATATATATTAATGTTGGTAAATAAACGCCTTTAAGCCAGCGTGTATAAATTAAGAGTTTAACTAGGCTCTGTAATATATAAATATAAATTTAACATATATAAGATAGGCAATAAGAGCCAAATCGCGGATGACAGTGCGTTATTCTAAACGAAACTAAATTTTTTCGTTAGAATTAAATACCTGTGCACAAGGCACCAAATTTTTACTTGGACACGGCCAAGATATAAAATTGGAATAATCTCTACAAGAGATTTTTAATTCCATGTATCCCCTATTCCCCCTAAAGAAATAAAGTGCGAGAGAAAAATATAGATCCGAAAGTCGCAGAATCGGGAATCGAACCCGAGACCTTTCGCTTGCCGGGCGACTGCTCTTCCAACTGAGCTATTCAGATCCTTTCGATTCTATACTTTTCTCTGTTATATATATTAATGTTGGTAAATAAACGCCTTTAAGCCAGCGTGTATAAATTAAGAGTTTAACTAGGCTCTGTAATATATAAATATAAATTTAACATATATAAGATAGGCAATAAGAGCCAAATCGCGGATGACAGTGCGTTATTCTAAACGAAACTAAATTTTTTCGTTAGAATTAAATACCTGTGCACAAGGCACCAAATTTTTACTTGGACACGGCCAAGATATAAAATTGGAATAATCTCTACAAGAGATTTTTAATTCCATGTATCCCCTATTCCCCCTAAAGAAATAAAGTGCGAGAGAAAAATATAGATCCGAAAGTCGCAGAATCGGGAATCGAACCCGAGACCTTTCGCTTGCCGGGCGACTGCTCTTCCAACTGAGCTATTCAGATCCTTTCGATTCTATACTTTTCTCTGTTATATATATTAATGTTGGTAAATAAACGCCTTTAAGCCAGCGTGTATAAATTAAGAGTTTAACTAGGCTCTGTAATATATAAATATAAATTTAACATATATAAGATAGGCAATAAGAGCCAAATCGCGGATGACAGTGCGTTATTCTAAACGAAACTAAATTTTTTCGTTAGAATTAAATACCTGTGCACAAGGCACCAAATTTTTACTTGGACACGGCCAAGATATAAAATTGGAATAATCTCTACAAGAGATTTTTAATTCCATGTATCCCCTATTCCCCCTAAAGAAATAAAGTGCGAGAGAAAAATATAGATCCGAAAGTCGCAGAATCGGGAATCGAACCCGAGACCTTTCGCTTGCCGGGCGACTGCTCTTCCAACTGAGCTATTCAGATCCTTTCGATTCTATACTTTTCTCTGTTATATATATTAATGTTGGTAAATAAACGCCTTTAAGCCAGCGTGTATAAATTAAGAGTTTAACTAGGCTCTGTAATATATAAATATAAATTTAACATATATAAGATAGGCAATAAGAGCCAAATCGCGGATGACAGTGCGTTATTCTAAACGAAACTAAATTTTTTCGTTAGAATTAAATACCTGTGCACAAGGCACCAAATTTTTACTTGGACACGGCCAAGATATAAAATTG